AAAAAAAAAAAAAAAAAAAAAAAAAAATTCTTAAATAAATTTATAACAAAATAAATATTTAAACAAAATAAAAAATTAAAATAGTTAACAAAATTTGAGAAAAAATAATAAAACGGTATAAATTTTATATTGATTTTTTGATCAAAATCATTTGCACTTTGAAAATAAAGTCTCTTCGTTTATCAATTTGTCTCTATATAATCTTTTTAATGGCCGGAAGCGGTAGATCGAAAACCGCTTGTCTTCTATGACTTACCACTGAAAGCAGATTTTTCTTGCTTGAGAAAGCATCAGATAAAAAAATATTTCTTTAAATTATTTTTTTTGGTAAAATTTTTAAGTTTTCAAGTAGCTTTCTGTGTTTGACTTTCAGTCGGTTTTAATATTTAAAGATTTTTAGCATTTTGGTTTTTTATTTCTTTTTTTTTGTTTTTTTTGTTTTTCACGCAGAGCACTTGATGTGTTATTTCTTAACAACGTTTTGCCTCTTTTTATTTATTTATTTTTTTTTTTTTCTTTTTATGTAAATCTTTTGAATATTATTTTTAACTACTTAATAAAACGTGTTAAAAGATTTAAAGGAAGATTTTTAATCTTAAGCTTTAAAGGCATTTGAAGAGTATCTTTTTTTTTTGAGTTTAATGAGTAAAAATTTTCTACGCAAGTGCTTATTTACTTCTCGTATCGATTTTTGTTTGATGCGCTTAAGAAATCTTATTCAATTTCTTTTATATTTTCTGTACTTCGTTTCAAATTGTTTATAAAAATAAAAGTATTGAAGGCCAATCGGCCTCTGTTTAAAGGGATATTCTTTGTACGCGTTTTGAAAAATAAATTTCAATATCACAGTTTGGGATTTTTTTCTTTTTTTTTATAATTTTCACAATTATATAAAAGATCATTTATTTATTTGTTTTTTTTTGTTTGTATTTTTTTTTTTTCGTTTTTTGTTTAAATTCAATTGATAATAAAATTCTTTAGTTGATCAATTTGGTTTTTCATCAGTTTGCATTTATTTAAGTAAACGAACATTCGGTCTTAAATTTGTATATGTATTGTGTTTGATTATAACTATATTGTTTTTTAAATTAAATTTTTAATGCATTCTCATTTCACAATAATATTCTGTTGTCCATATCCTGTGCTATTTTTTTTTTTTTTTTGCTTTTTTTGCTTGTTTAAAATTAAAAATACAAATATACATACATAAGCTTACAAAGAACGGTTAAACATCATAGTTTTAGTACACTTAACTTCAAATTATTTTATTTTAGAGCTTAGCCAATATTGTATATATTTATACATACATATAAATATATATATATATATATAATATATATAAATATACATATGCATACACACACACACACATATATATATACATATATATATATATATATATATATTATGTGTGTGTGAGTTAGGAAGTATGTTTATTAATAAGTATTTAGTAAAAAAAAAAATGCCAAAGGAAAATGAAAGAAATTTTTGTCAAATATTAAAAGAAAAATTTCATCAATTGAGCGAGTAATGCTTAATCAAGTCTATATTATTGCAAAGTGAAAAATGATCTTACTTTTTATCTTCACTTCAGAATTGTATAAGAATCTTATTCGGATCTTGTAGGATGGAGGTAAAAGAAAAAATAAAAAAAAAAATTTTTAAAAAAAGAGACAAAAATTGATACACTTTAGTCCTAAGTCTATTATTGAATCATGTTTTTTCTTTTTTTTTTCATTGTCAAAACTGTTGCTGTATTTATATATGTATGTGTGCATGCAAGTTTTAATGTTAAGAGCATCTACAATCTCTTTACGCATTTAATATTTAATAATAAACTGTGTTGTGAATGCAGCCAGCAAACTGATTTATTCTCTCTCTTTTGCGATCGCACGCACTGCGCTTTACATTATCATTGCATTCGTTAATATATTTTTAGTAATATCCCGTTGAGTTTGCATAGTTTTGCTGATACGATTGAGTATCTGTATGGATATAGAAAGTTGATATATATATCCATATATATATATATATATGTGCTTAGCTTAACTTGATGTATTTATCTAATCTTCCTTTCGTATATAAATCTTTTCATTAATTAATTCTTAACGCTAAATTGAGCTTATTTTTTGAAAAAAGGTGTACTTACCATAACCGCCATAGGCACGTTCGTCATATGCTTGCTGAGTGTGATGAGCATAATCGGCTTGTGACGTATTGTAATCAACGGCCGGAGCTCCATATTGTTGTGTATAATCCTGCCCGTAAGACTGATAACGGGTATCCTGCTGACTACCATAAGATGAACTGTAATATTTGTACAGCCATTAGTTAATCTTAAAATATTGAATTTTTATTAGGATGTGTTTTCCTTTTACCTATAGCCTTGATATTGCGAGTGATCATACTCGTTTGTAGCTGAAACGTAACCGTTATTGGTTTGAGGAATAGGAGCCGGAGCTGTATGTGACACGTAACCAGCACTTTGTCCGTAACCGTTATATGAAGTTTGTGTATTCGAAACAGCATATGGGTGTGCGTATGGATCCATTGCTTGCGATTGATCATGTGAAACATATGCTTGATGGCTAAAAATATTTGCAATTTTTATTTCTTTTTGGTTACCGAGATCCTTATTAATTACCAATCCAAAACTAAATTCAATATACCTTTGCATATGAGTGGTCGCCTGGTGCGAGACTCCGTAGGTAGCCTGTTGTTGCATTGTTTGCATATGATGATGTGGTTGATGATATTTGGGTGCTGTTCCTCTTTGGGAATATGGGCTGCCCTCGTAACGTCCACGCTTCGGCCCAGGCGGACCAGTGGGCGCACCGCGTTTCAGTGATGGTACTGATGCAATTTGGGTATTGGCCACATGTTGCTGATGCATAGGTGGCCTAGTCATGGGCGCTGAACCCATATAACCTCCCCGACCACGTGAAGGTGCACCACGACGTATTTGACCATGTTCTTGCATAGTATTGGTTACATGCATTGTACTCAAATTACTATTATGCTGCAAATGATGGACACCACCGCGGCCCATGCCTCCGCGAGAAATTGATCCACCACGACCGCGTCCTCCTCTAAAGTTTGTATAAGTTCCGGTGGAAGTGTTATTGGCGTTCGACGGTATGACGGGACCGACTGAAATATTTGCATTCGCTTCTGCATTTACCGAGGACTCTCCTGATTCTGGAATGGTACCATCCGCAGACGTAACATTAGTAGTAGCAGTGGCATTCGGCATGGGAGATACTGTTTTATTATTATCAACACCGGAGTGTTGTTTTGCGGCTAAATGTGAATAACAATTATTAATTTATAAATACAAAAGTAAGATTTCCTACTTTGCGTGTACATTGGCATACGACCCGTTCCACGAATACCTGCACTACCACGAGGTATAAAACCACCTCGACTCTGAAAGTTAACAGAAACGGAGAGACCTGTTCCTCCACGCATTGGCATGCCTCGGGGCGCAAATCCGCCCCGAGATTGATGTCCGGGCGCCGATCCCGCAATTCCCCCGCGGCTATTAAACCCGCCTCGCCCCATGTAACCCATAGAATTCATTGAATTTTGATAATGCCCCCGACTTATACCTCTTCCACGACCGCGTTCATATGAACCTCGTATCGGAGCACCCGTATTACCACCACGACCACGAGAAGCTATTACACCGGCCGACCCCGGACCAATTTCAGCAGACGCCGCTGCTGTCTCCATTTCTTGAATTCTTTTTTTTTATTTTTAATGAGCGTTGATTGCTTTACAGTCCCGGCAAATCACTTTAAACAGTTTTTCTGTTATTTAATTAGCGTTTATGTCTTTAAATTAATAATATTTTATTTAATAAAATACCATAGTCTTTGCGAAATGCCAATAAACGACGCGATCTGGTCTTAAAAAAACATGGCTACCAATATCGATTTTAGCTAAACCGAATCAGAGATCCCAGTCGTTAATAATTTTGTTTTAAAAATTAATAAGGATGCCGGACCCACGTATTTTTTTTCTTCAAACTTTACATATGGTCAAATTGCGTTCAGTAAAATGGATTAAACATATTGGCGAGAAGATCAACATATTTAGTAGAGTTCTTATTTGTTGATCGCATTTAAACAATTTTGCCTGGTATTTATTCTTATTCTTCTTTTGCAATTCAGCAAAAAACGGAAAATTTGCTGGGTTGTGTAAAAAGACTCAATGTGAGCACGAAATTTTTTGTTGGAACCTCAGTAAAGTTATTAATAAACTTATTTAATATATTAATCTTTTTTTATTTGAGTTATATGCTTATTAATTAGTTGTGTTTCTCCCAACGACGGCATAAAAACTTCTTTATTTGCAATTTATTTCATTTTTTTTCAATTTGTAGCTATTTTCTCTAGTAGATGTAACTCTAAACAACCACTGCAACATAAAAAAGTGGATTTTTTTACTTTCGCATGGTTTGACAGCTTTCAGAAAACGTTTCATGCGCCTTTTGTACATACATATAGCAAAAAAGTTCGAGAATCAAAAATGAATTCTAGTGAGCGCCGTACATAATCAGTGCCCAGGCCTGACTATCTCTTCAGTGGCAACTGTGTGATGTTGTAGAACAGGAATTATTAAGAGATGAATTGTTAATTTTTTCTTTTTTTTTGTAATTTTTTGTGTGAAAACTTACAATATAATAAAGAACAATAGTGTAAATATTAATTAATTACAATCTGGACATATAAGCCATATCTATCACTGGCTTAGTCCAGTAAAACTCAACATAAAAAAAAAAACAAAAAAAAAAAAACAACGAAGCCTCGCTTTCTGTTTTTGAGATGCCTGGAAAAGTTGGGGTAAAAATTAAGGCCGGCCGAAATTTACCTGTAATGGATAAATCTTCGGATACGACGGATGCTTACGTTGAGATAAAGTTGGGCAACGTTACTCATAAAACGGATGTTTGCCGGAAAACTTTAAATCCTACGTGGAACACGGATTGGTTTGCAATTGAAAAATGTTGAGATACAAACGTCCGGAGTTTTGATCTTGTATATATTGTTTATAGGTTCCGATTTGAGGTGGACGACGCAGAATTACAGGATGAACCATTGCAAATACGTCTTATGGACCACGATACCTACTCCGCCAATGATGCCATCGGAAAAGTAAATATTAGTTTAAATCCTCTTTGCTTAGAGTTATTTAGTCAGGCTACACATGGCAAAGGTACGGTTCTTTCCGGATGGATTCCAGTTTTTGATACGATGCACGGCATACGTGGTGAAGTAAATATTATCGTTAAAGTGGATCTTTTTTCGGATGTGAATAAATTTCGACAAAGCTCTTGCGGTATACCGTTTTTCCACTGTATGCGTATTCTTAATCCCAAATCGACCTATATAATTTTAATAAGTCTTATATGCGTTTTAGCCCTTTGTGTTCCTGTTGGGTATCGTGCTCAAGTTATACATGGCTTCGTAGAAGAATTAGTGGTTAACGATGACCCAGAATATCAATGGATTGATAAAATACGCACACCGAGAGCCTCAAACGAAGCTCGCCAAGTGGTATTTTTAAAACTCTCTGGTCAAGTTAGTAAAAGTATTGAGGAAGGAAATGAATTTTGAACAAATTCCTTTCTTTTTTTCCTTCGGACTAATAGATACAACGAAAGATGGGTTTGAAGGCTATTAATATAGGTGCTAATGCCGTTATTGGTTATTCGCAGTCCTTTGATTTGGAAGGCGATGTTGGTGTAGTGGCACGTGGTATTGGAACGGCTGTAACCTTAATTAAAGACACAAGTAGTCAATCGACTTCGGGGGAAAGCATTTTAATTGAAGAGTATGTTGTCAGCGTTTTAAATGAATTTCATAATGGATTGTGTGTTTTCGTAGAACATTGAATGAGCATAGTGGAAATACTTCGGAATGTTGTATTGAATGTCCTCAGCAAAAAGGTACTAAATCCTCACCAGCCCACGTAGTAATTGATCCATCTTCTGGTAATTTTGCAAACTCAATGGTTAATTATTTCAATTTCCTGCCAAGTCCTTCCAAATATGGTACTACAACAACGACAAACATTCAAACACAAATGGATAGCCTATCGTCTGCTACTACAACATCAACAGCAACGACAGTTGTTCCCAAGGAACTAGGAGAAATGTGTAGACGATCGTCGGATTCCGATTTGAGTGTAACTCCTAAAGGTAAGTGAAGGGATGTGCATATATATATATATATATATATAAATATGTATATATGGTACATGTGTTCTCACGTTCATGTACATAAACCGCACACATAAGATTGGCTGCAAACCCATAATTCAAGTCATTGCTTATACAAGTGCACAATAAAATTTAAAAAATTTATTCCGTTCGTCTGAATAAGTTTAAGTGCAGGAGATGCTATACCGTTAATATATTTCTTATTTTACATTATGAGTGTTATTGCAATGATATGATGATGAAAACATTTCATATTTTTCACTATGTATTTTTACTTCTATCATGCGTTCGAAATTGCGTCAGTTATTCATCGTAAAAGTAAGTAGTAGTAGTAGGCATTATTTATCATAAATTTTTATTTTTTCCTTGTTTTGTGTTGTTTATATTACTATTGGGTTGGTGTGTGCAAACGATGTTCTTACGGTTAAAGCACTCTCGACGTATCACCCGGTTTATCTTACTCTTTTATAAGAAATTTCTTCTTCTCCATAAGAAATTTTTTAGGGATAGCTTCAAGAAAGCTGCCTAATTTATGTAATCTATGTAAGTTAGTAGCAGCATATTTAACCTAGTATAAGTGCATTACAATCTCAAATCAAAGTTGAGTATGAGAGTTCAACTGCGTTAAAAAGTTCGATAAGCTCACCCGTAACTCTTAAACTTAATAAAGCATATCTATCATAAATGCATTAAACAAAACTTGATGATGAAAATGTCTCGTTATGTAGAGAAAATGTTTTAAATATTTTAATATGCGAGAAATGGAAACCTATTAATAATTACTATATATTCTGCAGGAAATTCATTTTGTATGGCTAGCGATCGCCTTGTAGCGGCTACAGCCATGATGAGAATTGGTCAACCATGTTTGGGTAAAAATGCCAATAACGATGGCATGGAAATGCTAGAGTATCCTTTTCTTACAATGACCAGGTATCCGGAAGGATTTTTACTTCATATAGGCGCAACCGTAGCTGCACGTTCAGTTAAATTACTTGAACGAGTGCCAAATCCTGATGAGCCGGAGGTAAGGGATTCTTGGTGGACGGAAATACGTATGGAAATTCGATCGCACGCTCGATCCTTAGGCTGTAATGTTGTATTAGGCTATTCAGAGTCCACAGCCATCTCGTAAGTAATGAACTTGAAATTATAAAATTTTATTTAAATAAAGTTACGTTGAATGTAGTACACTGGCCTTTATTTTAGTGATGATGTTTGCGTACTCTCGGCCACCGGAACCGCGGCAATAATAAATATGAGCTTTAATCGCTCCATATCTCAAAATGATATATTCACGATGGCAAAATCTAATTGCGGCATTGGCATGTCCACATCTTTGGAAGAACGAAATGTGGTTTTCAATGATTTGAACTTAAAAGATATTGTTACCATATCGAATGGATCGACTGGAAAAAAGTTTTGCTTACCGCCTACACTAAATGTAACTAAAGGTCTATGTAATGTGTGTCATATACCATACAGTTCATCAAGTTTACCGTTTAACGTCAAAATGAAGAAGTGCGCTCTTTGCCGTAAAGGTCGTGTACCTGATGTATTGTTAGCCACACTCGAAGTGCCAGATGCATTGCAAATAACTGGTATAGTCTTTGCGTTATTACTAACTTATCTGCTAATTATAAAGAACTTTCTTTTCAATTTTCAAAAAAAAAAAAAAAAAAGGGCGGGGCAGTTTTCTACAAGCTCAGGTAGTGCGTGGTAAAAAAGATTTGCGGTCTGAGTTGAATGCCAAGGAAATTTCAGATGGTCTTCCTTTTCTGGAATATGAACTTCATAGAGTACTGATTAATAAACTAAAAGCTAAGGGAATGAATGCAATTTTCGGTTTAAAAGTTCAAGTTGCCATAGGAGAACGAATGATGGCGCTCGTTGCAACGGGCACAGCATTTTTCTTAAGCGCTTTACCGATTCCTCAAGTACCAAAAATAGTGGCTGGCAACTCGTGGACTGACAAACAAAAACTAAATGAGTTGCAGAAAAAGCTTCAAGACACTTTTGATCGTAATCAAGAGATATATCAATTAAAGCCGACTTATGCGGATGGTAAAGGTGGTCTCTTAGATAAAAATTCCGATACGGATGAGTCGGATGAAGAGGGCGGCGAAGTCGATTTAAATTGTGGTAATAAAGATACTTGCGTGTTGGAAGTGGATGATATTGAAGATTTGGAAATTATATCATTACTAATGGAACCATATCCACCGGAGGGATTTCATATAGTTAACACGGAAAGATTACCCGGCATATTGGATATGGAATTAGTAAAAAATCTGCAAATGTTCACTCAAGTATGGAAGGCAAAATTGGACATTGCTCAAAGTATAAGTAATTTTCAGAAGCATTTTCAAAGGTATTCAATGAAAACAAAATTCTGTTCCGTTGCTCGCATGATTGGGTGTGTTCTTTATTTTGCAGACTATTACAAACTATTTTCTTTAAGTTACGTACGATGATTCCTTGCGCTATTTGCAATTTAAGTTTTAAACTAGATTTTCCAGAATCGGTAGGTAACGCGGCAAGCTATTTACCTAAGGAATTTTTTAACAAATTTTTTCATCAATCAATAAGGATCAAATTCAAATATTGGTCGTGGGTATGGCTCTAAGATTAGAAGATCCCAGTAAACTTAAAAATAAACGTAAATGTGCAACAACAAATGGTCAATCCGAAAGCAACGAAACATCGAATAAACGTTCGCAGCAAGAGGATGATCTTATTTTTCCTTTAGATGAGGACCATGTGATCGAAACCAATACTCCACTAGCATCTTATAGCGCTCATATTCTTAAAAGTCGTAAAGCATCACCAATCCTGTCAGTATCCGCTCTCAACATTCGCCAGTGCTATGTAAGTTATGCGCTTTTAAAGTTACTATGATTACTGTTACCGCTAACGACAAGTAGATGATTTTTGCTTTTCGCATCAAAGATTCCTTTGCAGAATGTGTGAATCTCATGGTTTCATATATTTCTTACTTAGAATTATTGAACATAAATTCCATGAAAACTTCATTAACTCCATGTGATATGGTTTAAGTACTGCAACAATCTGTTAAAGCACGACCTATGTTTTCATACTTTAGTTGGAACCACAAACTGCTTAATATCGACCCGGATGTTTATAAATACATCCAGGATTTCCTAATGAAAACTTTAAATGTATTTAAGATAAATATTTTAGTTGTCTTCCGCATTTTATACCACCTACGCAAGGACGTAATAGCTGCTCGCAAAAATTTTGATCACTTTTTCACTTGAAAAAGGCATTTATTGTGGAAATATAAGTATAATATATATACTAATCAAAATAGTTTCCATCATTTTCTACAACATTTCGTAATACATTTGGCATTACATGTCGAGAAACCTTATATTGGTTTGGCACCGATACACCCACCAAACCATTTTCGCACATCTTTGCTGGCCCGCGTGCTAGCCAAGTCGCGCTGATCTAATATGAGCAAGGGGTAATCCGGAAGCGCCACGTCTCGTTAGTACGTACGGTGTGGCAAAATTTTCCATTCGAGATGCTACGTATTCTGGACTACTCTTGCAACGAGTGACCAAAAAAATGACATTTTCACTTAATTCGTGTCGCTACTTTGGAAGCGTTGAAACCAAACTGACAAGTGGGATTCGGTGAGACAGCATCATTATAAGCCTATGAACGTGTCCAGTGGGCTTCGGCAGCAGATTTCTTCAAATCGACAACAAGCGTAATGAATTCGGAAGAAGATAAATTTTGAGCGCTTTATGAGTAGCGTCGGCGTAAGCTGCATAAACCAATAATATTAGATAAAAAACCGTTAGTTTAGGTAGAGGAATGTCAAAGCAATCGAATTTATCCGTTTATCCATTTCTTTATCATTTTTACCAGTAGAAGTCGATGATCAAAATTTTTGCAAACATCTAAAGTATCAAGTCTGTTGATTCGCTTGTAGCAACCTTCAGCAATTAACAAAATCTTGTACATATTAGTGATGTTAAAGCGATGGATATCATCAAATTCCACCAAGGTGAAGATAACTTTCTGATTTTTTTATTAAGAAGTTTTTATGTATCTTTTCAGAACAAAATTCCCGATCGTAATAGCATTGATATTACTCCGCTTAGTTTTCTGCCTGGCGGGAAAATCGAAAAATATTTGGGAAATTTGAATTTCTTCTTCATTCGCGAAAGTACCTCAATTAGAGAGAATGGAGGCATTAGTGGATTTGTTCATGGCTTTATAACAGAGGTTGTTTGTATTATTTTTAACATTAATTTCTTCCTCTAAGGTTTCTATTTTTGATGTTAATTAGCTACTTGCTGTTGTTCGGGCTCATATCGCTGCTCTAGGCGGCAATGCAATGGTGTCGTTTTATCTAAAAGAATTGATTATGCTTGATAATCAACATAAGAATCAGGTTAATTACAAAGTCCTGTACGCCCATTGTGCCTAAATTTTTAATAATTATATTTTTCTTTTAGGGTCAATGTTTAATAAGCATTGGTGGTGATGCCGTTTATGTATCTTACACAAATGAAGAATAATATCGACATATGTTTCCAGTATTTTGCTTGCAACAAGCGCTTATGGAAATTGTTTTCTCTCTTACACTTATTTACGTACAATTATAATATAATGTAATTTATTTTATTCTAATAAGTGTTACTCGTAGTGATTAAACTCTTTATGGATAAAATGTAAAATAAAAACTGAAATTATTTAGTTAATTAATAAGCTGGCTGTCTCCATGGAAGGATGGACTTTGGAAATGGGGGCAATGTAGGGAAAATACTTGCAATCTTTTAATAGCAAATTCATTGTTGTCACTCAGTCCAATCACTCAATCCTTAAGAAGTCGGATTGGAATTGTTTTTTTAAAACATATTCCTTGGGAGGTATGCAAATCTAGTTTTAACTGCAAGCCTATTCATCATTCTTCCCTACCATATAGCAAGCAAATTTATGATCGCATTACAATTAGACGGATCTACAGCCCCTTCAATGTTTAACTGTAGCCTGAAGATCCCAAGGAAAATAAGTGGATATTGTTAAAGTCATTGTAAGACTAATTGTTACCATAAAAATCACAGAATATAAATAAAAAGAAACTGATTTGATGCGAGATTCTTCGTCTTCCCATCTATCAGTTACCTCCAGTATATCAATCTATCGATAAACATTTATTTTAAAAGATTTTAAACATATCTTTTGCTTCATGTAACTGCGTCAGTGAAGCCCGCCTCTGTGCTCCTTTCCAATCGAAATTTAACTTGCCTTTGCATTCACTTGATTTTCATATTGTTGTTGCCTCCAATCGAAATTATTTCTTTATTTTTATTTCTCAAGCCATATCCTGAGATTTTTTTTATACAACGCTTTACTCCCACTTTTTTGTATGTAATTAACTTTTTCTTTTATTTTTTAAATGGATTGCTACCTCGAAAATTTGAATCCACATATGCACGTCCAGCTTTTCCATGCCTTGATGAATTCAGCATGAAGGCTCGATTGAAACATCGTGAATAATGATCTGCTTTGACCGTGCTACATCAACTCGAATAATAATGTTTTAATTTTCCTGAAATCTTAAAGACGAAAGCCCCGACGGATCCTATGCTATATAATGAACAATTTTTATACTTGATAATTTTATTCGATCAAGAAATGTTCAAAATAAAAAATTTAATAAAATATCACGAAAAATGTTTACAATCCTGCACGAAAAATGATCAATCGTCAAATCGACTATTTATTTTCGAACATTAATGAATTATATCATTAATGTTACCAAATTTAGACTCGATTTTTCGATGCAACAGGCAGTGAGGACAACAGATTGCGAAATTCGTCAAAACGAATAAAGATTCTATTTCTTTCAAAAAATCAGTCTTTTTGAAAAACATTTTTTTTTTTATTATGTTGATAGATTAAAAATTGTTTTGTTTATTGATTTCTTCTTTGTTGTTTACTTTGTTTATTGTTTTCTGTGTTTCACATGTGTACTCGATATTTCAGCATCAGAATTCAGTAACATCTGATAGTAAGCGTATGTCTTTGTTTACAATTGAGAATAATTGTACAAGTCAGTTTCTATTTGTTGATATAAGCCGATAGCCTTAGATGCTAGTGCTTTTAAGAGTTTAGTCTTAGAATTTATTTCTCTGGCTAAATTAATAATAATAATAATATTTGTTGATAATTGAGAATAATTGTGCTTTTATGACTTCAGTGTTAGAATTTATTCTCTGGTTAAATCTATAAGAATAATAATAATAATACTTCATTAAACAAATTATGATAGTACAGATATAATAAGATGAAAAGTGATAGTTATTTAGCTGTTTGATTTTTTATACTTAACATTTTCACCACCTTATTTGACAGCTGATAGATGGAAAACATGATAAATGCGCATAAATTGAAAAATAACAACCCCGTCATTAAATTTGATCAACCTGTATAGAGTTATCATTTGTAGTCACAATATGTTGTACATAAGAAGAAGCTACAATGAGTAATAAATAAATATTTGCGTTTTCAGTTGGGGCGTTTGTATATAAATTTTTATTATTTTATATAAATACAATTAATAAACCACATCATGGATTGGTTGTTTGGTAAAAAGATCTCTCCCGATGAGATGCTACGTAAAAATCAAAGAGCTCTTAACAAAGCTATGCGTGATTTGGACAGGGAAAAGATGAAAATGGAACAACAGGAGAAAAAAATTATAGCCGACATTAAAAAAATGGCTAAAGAAGGTCAAATGGATGCCGTCAAAATAATGGCTAAAGACTTGGTACGCACAAGGCGTTATATTAAAAAGTTTATGTTAATGAAGGCTAATATTCAAGCAGTTTCTCTTAAAATTCAAACCCTGAAATCTCAAAACACAATGGCCCAAGCTATGAAGGGTATGAAAAATTAATAATATAACCACCTGAAGGTCGTTCATTAATTCATACTCAATACTTCTAGGTGTTACTAAGGCTATGCAAAATATGAACCGCCAGCTGAATCTGCCTCAAATTCAAAAAATTCTACACGAGTTTGAGAAGCAGTCAGAAATTATGGACATGAAGGAAGAAATGATAAATGATGCTATCGATGATGCTATGGAGGATGAGGGCGATGAAGAAGAAACTGATGCTGTAGTTTCACAAGTTCTTGATGAGTTGGGATTACAATTAGGCGAACAACTAGGAGACCTTCCGACCGCCTCAGGTTCATTATCGATTGCTGGTGGCAATAAAGCAACTCCAGCTGCCGTGGCGGCAGGAGGCGGCGCTGTTGCGGCAGGCAACGGAGGTGATAATAAAAGCAGTGGACCGTCGTCACCAATGTCTGATGCAGACGCGGACTTGCAAGCCCGTTTGGACAAATTAAGGCGGGACTAATGAATTCATTAGCGAAAGGATGGTTTTTTAGAATTTTTTGCTTTGATAAACATGCCTATAAACGTTGTTTCTTTATAAATAAATTAAAAGTATTAGCGTGAGATTTGGGTTTTGCGAATAATTACGAAAGAGCAAAAGTTTCTCCTGATCCTTAAACTGGCTTCGGCTCACGTTACCTAGAACAAGGTAATTAATTAAAGCTTTCGTTTTTTTAAAGTATTTTTGTAGTCTTATTTTCGAAAGATTTCATTTTTAAAGGATATTATTACTTTCTTATTGAAAATTCCAATTTAAAAAATGTCAAATGCAAGCAAACATTACGAGCCTAAAAAAGAAATGGTTAATGATGTCATAGCAAATGAAGGCCATGAAAAAGAGAGCGATAGTGTAGTTGTAGTAGTTCACGGTTTTAACCTGTTCCTCTTATTGCACCATTTATTGTGTGAAGCGATATTTGTTTTACTATTCTTTGACGAATTAGACTTGAAGTTTGACCTTTCAATAAATTCAAAAGCGGGTCACGATACCATTAGTAACGAAAATGACTGAAATTGGGCAGTTTTGGACAACTTAAAGTGGAATTAAATTATTTTTTTAGATATGTCCACAGTCAATAACATACATATTATTGGATATATTTATTTTATCAAAAAGACTCTGAAGACCACAAAAATTTCCGGGAACCTACAGCATTTACATTAAAATGGAAAAATGTAGCAATTTAATTGAATTTCTTTGTTGAGCTATTTTTTAAGGTAAGAGCGATAGATAAAAAAGTTTCGGCAACGGCCGATTATAATTTTTATAATTGCTACAATAATAACAAACTATAGGATTTGCAAATGAATAAACGAAGACGATCTTGACCGATAAAAAACTATCCCTCATGCTGTTTAGATTAAACTAATCGCTTATTACTTCCGGTTTTTTTAAAGATATTTGACTATTTTTATTTTCTTCTTTTTGAAAGCTTTGAATAAAACTTATTTTGGAACCAAGTATCAGGTGCATTGCTTTTAACAACATTTTTATATATATCTATATTACAATTTTTTTTTTTTTTTTTTTTTTTTTATTGAAAACCCGATTTATAAAAGATTTTTTCAACTTTTGTGAAAATGTCATCTGCATTATATTTTGCATCGATTTTTTCAACTTTTCCCATCTCTTCAAAATACTTTATAATTGGCATCGAATCGTTATTGTAAGTCTCTATGCGCTTTTTCAAACTTTCTATATTATCATCCAAACGACCGGATCCACTTTGGCCGCGTGTCAAACAACGAGCGACGCACACGTCTTCCGGGCAATCAAAGAAAAGTACAAATTGAAAATCTACTTTATCCGACATTTGCCGATTCCAACCGTCCAAGTTGTCTTGGTTACGTGGAAAACCATCAACGAGGAATCTATTATTTGACGACTTCTTCATCGCATTCTCAAGCAGAGAACACGTCACCTCTACAGGAACTATTTTACCGTTGCGTATGTATTCATCTATCAACGCACCGTACTCGGAACCTTCCCGTGCACGCTCGGCACGTAATAAATCTCCGGCGGAGAGATGTTCAAATTTAAATCGTTCAACTATTTTCGAGCATTGAGTTCCTTTTCCAGCACCTGGTCCACCCAGCACGAAAATAACTTTTGGTTTTTCAAGACTACGCATTCCCTCCATGGCGATCGTAGTTACAGAACGTTTATTAAAATCAAAAAAATAGTTTATTGTAGATCGTGTCCAATACGCATAAACATTTAGAGTAAGTTTATTCATTCAGCGTCTTAATTCAATTTATGTCACCGTTTAAGCTACGTGTCTCAACTTTCACCACCACTTTTTTGACCCCCTATAAAATATAACAACTAATCAATAATATGTATATTTTCTTATCTAATATTCATATAGCTCTTGAAAATTTCAACGTATGACAATTATTTTTTAGATATTTTGATATAAGAACACTTTTAAAGTGTCTTTTAATTTGCAAATTCAACTTAACTTTGACATTAAGACAGGCTGGCAAACTTATGTGTTTGCACATTTGCCTTTATAATTAAAAACAATTACTAAAACATCTACATCACAGTAAGCAGTGATAGCAGCGACTGTCGTTTACTACTAATTTTACTAGAACCGTAGCAGTAAGTGGGTTTTAAAATACTAAAACAGATATATAGCTTTGATAATGTATTCATTTTGACTTTTTCGTAAAGTGAATAATTTGAAAATATTGTGGTAATAAATTTTAAAATGTAGCATTTATGTAATAGCAAAAAAAAAAAAGTGCATCAGATATTTTATTATTATTATTATTATAATTTTAGACTAATGAAATAAATTCTTAGATTAAAAAAGGACGTTGAGCACTTGCAGCACAGGCTATCGGCTCAAATCAGATATTTTATTTGAAAAACAAATTTATGTTTACGTAGACAATGCTTTTTGGTCCAGCCAAACTGTGACAACAAAAGCAATTTTCAAAAACGAGCAAAAAACGTGCATTATATTTATATATACCTTATTTAATAGGATGTTTCAATCTGTAGCTTCGATCTGCCTCATAATATTCGTGGCTTTAGTAAAAATAAAGAGAATTTAAAAAAACATTTTACTCTGTTTTAGAAAAAAAGATCGCGGCTTTCGGTTTACCGTCCTGCAAATTCTGTTTTTCTTTGAAGAATTGAATTGAAGAATCAATCAACAGCACAGAAGTGCTGTTTGCTAAACTACTTTTCTACGCTATTTACGATATGGCCAGTACAATAATTGCACGATATTTGTTAGTGTTGTGTTAATTTCATTTTTTTTAAGACACAAAATTAGCCTGAAACTCGAGAAATAATAAAATATATAAATAATACTATTATGTATCAAATCGAACCCTAACTTTACAAAGGCTCAGAGAAACATCCTAGCCTCTTAGACACCTTAGCGAATTTTTTTGTGTCCATTTTCTGAATAACAGAAGAAAAAGAAGATGTTTATTAAAAGATTTTAGAACCGAATCACTTTTACACTTTCTTCACATTGGGCCTTTTTTACACATCAGCGAATTTTCAGGTGCTTATTTTCTGAATAACAGAAGAAAAAGAAAGAAGTGACATAAATTGTTAAGCAACACTGAATCAAAGAAAAGTAATGACTACCAAATTTTTCGAACTAATTGGTAGGGTGTGTGGATCCAATATTAGGTGCGAAATATTTATATAATTTCATTATAGTTTTCTTTTCAGCAACCGTTCGCTACAACTGCGGTATTGGAGCAATTTAAGTGCACATTAAGTTCTCCAAAAGCGCTCTCATTGTCGTCGCATACGAAAACACGCAAACCTTATAGTCATTTCATTCATCCAGAATTTTTACTGAATTTCAAAATTCATTGCCCTAATTCGATACGTGTGAAGTTGAAGCTATTTGATATGTTCGATCGACCGGCACAGAAATTCTATGTCCGCTCAATAGTGGCAGTTATAAGTTGTAATCTTCAATTAGCGAGCAAAGTTAGCAAGGACTTGGAATTTCGTATGACCATAAAAAAAATTGAATTATTGCGGCTTGAAGAATGGATTTAAATGAAAGTGGGCGAAGTGAAACGCTTCCAAAGAAAGGAGGAAGATAGAGAGAATTGTTATGCCGTCTTTCCTGGGGCTTCTACGTAAGCGTTTCCTTGGGCTCGTCCTTTTTCGAAATTGGGACCGAGAATGCGGTCGATTACGCGCTGTTGAGCGCTCGGCCCAACGTCGTCTGCATCCTCATTCGACTCGCTTGATATGTTTACTGGCCTGTTATACAATGCGGTGTTCCGGTGATCAACCATCACCAAGTAAACTGCCTCCTCAAATATTCTGTTGAACCCCATCCTCGGCTTTAATCAAATAAACAGTAAAATTAATAAATAATAATGTTATGTATCAAATCTTACACAAACTTTAAAAAGTTTCAAACAGAGAACTCTGTGTTCACACGGGCCCGTTTTTACACATCTTGGCGTGTTTTTCGTGTCTATTTTCTGAATAACAGAAGAAAGAAGAAGAAGAAGATGTTTATTAAAAGATTTTAGATTTTCTCGTTTAAATAAATTGCTTTATTTTTTTGTTAGATAAATTCTTTACAGTCAAAATGAGTTTTTTAAGGCCGAAAACGAAGATAGATGAAGGTGATACTGTGATTATATTTTTGGGTGTAAATTCAATGCACAGCATCCAAGCGACTCCCACTGTTGTTAATAGAAAAGGTGAAGAAGTCGAGCACATTTTCCAAACGTCGTTTGGCGCCCTAAAAGTCCGGAGTATAATTGGACTGGAGTATGGCAGTCAGGTTACACTATCCAAAGGATGGGCGTATATTTTGCAGCCAAATCCTCAGCTGTGGACGCAAACTCTACCCCATCGAACTCAGATTATCTACACTCCTGATATAAGTATGATTATCCATCAGTTGGACCTGCGTCCAGGTTCAGTGGTTGTTGAATCTGGTACAGGATCCGGATCACTTTCACACTTTCTTCTACATGCCATCAAACCCAGCGGGCACTTGCACACATTCGATTTTCATGAAGCACGAGCAAAACAGGCTCACGATGAGTTTCAAAATCATGGTTTAAACGATTTCGTATGTGTTTATAATCGAGATGTATGTGAATCTGGCTTTGGAACACAATTAGAAGGAAAAGTTGATGCAGTTTTTCTTGATTTACCTGCGCCTCAACTGGCCGTGCCACATGCTGTTAAGGTTTTTAAGAATCAAGGTTTGTGTTTTTTTGTCTTAATGAATTCAAAATCGAAGTTTTCATTATATGTGCATTTCATCATGCAGGCGGACGTTTTTGTTCGTTTTCACCTTGCATTGAGCAATCGCAAAGATGCTGTGAGGCTCTTAAGAATCATGGTTTCACAGAAATTCAGTCATTGGAGATTTTACAACAAGAAAATCAAGTAAAAACGAAATCATTGTCTCTGATAAATTTGGATTTTGTAAAACACAAGGTTGGTAAAAATCAATTATTGTAAAAAAAAGCATTCACTGATTAACATATGATCGCAGAAACCCTTAAATTCATCACCTGAGGAAAAGCATTTACCGTCAAAAGATGTAATAAAAGTACTTACGACTTTTCAGCCGATGACGCATACAGGACATACTGGTTTTCTTACCTTCGCCACATTGCCGCCGTTCTTTGCTCGGTAGCTACTTGTTATAAATTTACGATTTTTATAATTAGTAAAAATATTAAAACGAATTTTTTGACATTTTGATCTTTAAGATATTCTTTGTTTTCTATTTATTTTGTTCTTCCACTACATCTTGGGCATCTTATTTTATTATTAATTTGCTTTTCAATGTCTTTATCAATTTTGTTAAAAGCGTCGTCTGAAGTCTTAGTTGAAGGTTTAAATAGTTTTACTCTCCCAAGAAAACTGAGAATTTGCATATTATATAGTGATTAATATTTTATATTGCACGTAAATACTCACTTTGGTCGAGGTTCAGTCCATAAATCTGGCATACGCTTTGCTTGCATTATTTCAGTTAATTTTTGCAACAAGCGCACATTTTCGGCGTTTATTAAAGATATTCTCTCCCTTTCTGCCTGAAACTTCTTCAATTTATCTTTAACGTGCTGATATTGAGGTGGTGGAGAATGATCAATTAAAGCTACTGCCGCGTTTACTTTATTCTTATGTTTCATGTAACGTTGTTGCTGCCACGGCTGGTTCAAAAGTTGGTCTTTTTTCGAAATCATAATTAATTTTCACGTTTTATGACTAACTTGAAAATGTTTTACAAAATCAATCATATACAGCTATGGATGCATTGCCTTGGTTTTGCTGGTTGGCGATGATTGTTTATGCTTATTCGAATGTTACTATGGAATTATATCAACCACTAAAAGAGGTTACTGCCGTAATCCAAGTATGGCAAGCTTAAAATTGTTTCTGAATGATGTCTTAAGTTATAATGATAATGCCTTAGATCGCGCTAATTATGAAAATGGAAGATTATAAAGCCCGGCTTTATTTTTTTCTATAGAGCGTGTGATCGTGGATAGATCAAGTCCATGTAGTCGTCAATTAAGTATATAACGTATATGCTAAATATTTGTTTCTGATATCAACTTTTACAAATGTAAGCGTTCTAAAAGCACAGGAACACAGGGGACGTAGTTCTTATTAATGTACTTGTTGGAGCTTCGTTCTTGTATGGAGGGGTTTTAAAATCGAGGAGAAAATTTTCCTTTTTAATAGGTAAAAAAGATTGCAAAGACAAGCTTTTTTTTAATATTAATCACAATATTAGGACATACTTCATAATAATTGCTGTTGCACATTTTACTAATGGGGATCGTATCGTGTTGATCTATTAACAAGTACACCTAAAATTGACAAACTTTGTGTTTTGAGATGGTATAAAAAGCGTATACAACTTCGCTTCCTTTCGCAGATAATTGATTTAAGGAATTGTGATGTTTGAAAAGCCCGTATCGTTGCAATGAAAATAGTAGTGATCGATCAGTAAATAAATTAGTAGATAGCTATGTCGTATTTCAAAATCGCTAGTTTGTTGACATTTTATTGCATGCGATAGCACTGCTTTGATACGTTCTTGTCATAAAGTGTATGTTTTGCTTTGTAATGAAGTTCGTTGAATTTTACACGGTGAGAAAAGTTATTGTAAAGTGCAGCGTACAGTGTACGTTGTACAGTGTTTTTTTTTTTTTTTTTTGAGGGAAAAATGCTCAATGAAAACGTTATTTTGCGAACCAAAAATTTCTTAATCTTAACAGACAGAGGCTACGCGGTTTTGTGATAGTAAGAGCCAGGCTTTCTATTAGAATTGAAAAAAAAACAACAACTAACACATTGCTTACTTTATTATAGAACACAAAAATTACATCTTGAAAGGCATATCTTTCATGAGCGTTTTTATGGAGAAGCGGGCTCTAAACGCAATTGCAACACAGGGCAGGAACCAGAAATAAGCACAGACGGTCCAAATTTTGTAGAGTTTATTTTTATACGAACTTGCTATAATATTATGGGTCAACTTCCGTCGTAGTGTATTAAAACTTAGACTTTTCTGCTCAACAAAGGAGCAATTATCGTGGAATCCAAAAACTAGTCCGAGATGGGTCAAATTTGGTACAGTTCATTTTTTATATTAAATGCCCATTAGGGTGCAATTTTCATTGTGAAGCATTGAAAATTATATATTTTTGCCGTATGAACTTCAGTTTTCGTTATACGAGAGGGGGTTCAGAAATTACCATAGCCGGTTGAAAGTTTTCATACCAATTTAGAATGTCGAAATACTATGATTTAGCCATTTTTGCGGAAAAATTTTGAAAATGACAGTTTTTAACGAGTTTTCAGAAAAGGACGATAAAGTGGACTGATGCATTTCTTGGGTGAAAACATGTCACTGTCCATGCACATCAAAATATCTCATAAACTGTGACCTGTAGCTTGAACTCACATTTACACGGACCGACACCAGGCGGACAAATAGGCTTAGATCAAATCAGATTATGATTCTCGATCGGTATTATAAAAGATGGGTCTATCCTTAGCCCTTTTGCGTGTTACATGCGTCCGCACTAACTTAATCTACCTTACACCTCTTGTCCTACAATGAAAAGAAATGCATATGAAAGTTGTATGGAAAAATGAGTGGTTGTATATCCTCACAATAATCCAAGTTGGGCAATGAAGACATGGACACATATCATATACATAAGCAATGTAAGAGGTCAAGAGGGACTTAGTGCAGGCTTTTTATTTTTTACGAGCGCTGCAGTTTTTGGAATTTTATTATTTTTCACACTTAACTTCAGTAATTTAAGATTGAAAATTGGTTTAACCCGCTTCCATATACAATGTCTGTAGGTAAACCAACAAAAAAATGATCATTACGAATTTAATCCCTTTTGTATGATAGATCCACAACTGTTGTTTGTTCAAAGTCGGTTTTAAGTTGACTTTGGTTTCGACTTCATCTTCTAATGCCCGTCGCTACCTTGCGTAGTAAATTTGTTTGTAAGCAGAACTAACAAGGTTAGTCAAAACAGTATCTGAGTAGGAAAAAGAATGCAAAAAATTTGGCAAAATATTTTTTTTTAAATTTTTTGGCATATTCTCGTTTAATTCCAATCAACAAAATATTAAATAGTTATCAAAGACTGCAAAGACTGCACGCCATCTTTTAGTTGTTGGTGAAAAGGAAGTCTTTTCTTAAGAAAAACTAAGTCGATGGATAAAACGTCTCAGTTTCCTACAACATTTTGCATTTATAAATGGAGAAGCTAATACCCCCAGAGAAGAGCTCGAATTTGCTATTGGCTAACCAAGAGATATTTTAGGGTACTTTATATAACATAACGACGAAATATTTTTGTACCCATCACATCAAAATGTTTGCAACGCCCAGAAGGATGCACAAAGTATAATTTTATGAATCGATTTCAGCATTTCCAGCTGTTAGTCTGTCCATCTGTCATTGTGTCCATCTGTCAGTCTGTCCATCTGCCAGCTTGTCCATCTGTCCATCTGCCTAATTGTGAGTGTGTTTGTCGTAAATATTCTTCCGTTCGTAAAAGTGAAGATAACGTCTACAAATTTGCAAAAGAGTTTGCAAATGATTCTAATCGGTCAAAGGATATATCCGCAAAATCCAAACACCTTTGCTTTGCTTTCTTTGTTTTTTTTTTGCTTGTTGTATCGATGCAAACAAGTGGTAATCAGATGGACTTGAGCCACGTGAGTACGCCGCATGGGCTAGCAGTAGCTTAGTTGAGTTTTTCTAACCTATTGCTGAAAGTTTCTGAAGTAAGGATAGATAGATGGATGACGTATATTCCGTTCGCTTCTTTAACAGAAAACGATTAGTTGTTGTTAGCAGCGTACGCTGTTAACCGCTTCGTTCGACTTTATAGGTCAGAAAGAAACTTAAGAGACCCTACAAATTCTTAATATTAATGATTAGAATTGAATCTGAAACATTTTAGAAAGTGTCCAATTGCTGTGACAAACATACTCATAATCGAAAGATATGGGTATCTGTCTCAAATTCGCACAAACATTGGAAATCGTTGCACGCAGGTTGATATTGAAAATGCCAAGGTATAAAGCCATAGTGCAAAATAAATGGAGAAGATCTCGGCTTTGTAGGGTTTTCGGCCATTACGCATAAACTACAAGAGACAGCCGTTATTAATATCCAGTTTTATTCTAAAGACATAAAAAATTAGCTATGCCCGTCCCCCAGGCTCGTTAGAGAGTATGGTAATTGATTTTTTTCTTCTCTTTGCCTTTTTGAGGATAACGTAATGGATATAAAAAATTGGATCACAGCCGTATATAATTTTCCTACTTGTTATTATTGCTTTCTATGCACTTGAACAATTGCTTTTCTTTTCGTCAAAGAAATATACGGAGAGCGTGAACTTACAACCGTTTTCTTGCCTTTAAAAGAAACGAATATATAGAAATATAAAGGAACTCTATGCAGAAGCGCGGCAGAAGAGTGACATCCCCAGTCAAACTACACATGACTTGGAACAGCGCAATTGCCTGCATATATATATATGAATATATATAAAGGAATTAAAATAACCAAAAATTTTTTTCACTTTGTAAACCTTATTATTAAATAGTCTTAAACCGTCTTAAACAGTTCTAAACACTTTGAAAAAATGGAAATATTTTGTAATCTTTGCAGAAAAAAGTAGGAGGCCGAGCTGCTGTTGCTAGCGCTGTTGATAAAAGTGGCGGCAAGTTCATTACATTCATCATAACATTTAGTATTGATTAAAGTTTTATTTACTCTGAGGCAAGCTAGGGAAATGTATTCATCTACGACAAAGGTGGCTATTACGGTCTGCCCTATTAACGGAAGAGTTAATTGATCGCAGAAACACCTCCGAATGATCCCAATGATCGAAATTAATAGCAACTCGGATGAACCTGATGTACGGTGACGTCATCGTCTGTGGAAAACAGGGCGGTTCAGATACAAGAGACTGATAGACGGCTTGCCTGGCAACCTCATCCGCCCACTTATTACGTTTTTTCAATATGGAAGGAAATTCAAAGAACATTAACGTTAGTTTGACGTGTTGGGTATAAAAATTGATCATAAGTGAATGGGATTGAATTCTATTGCTCTAAACACACTAAGAATGTCAAAACAGATTCACGTCCTACCCTGGAAGAATTGAGGCACTAGTCGTAGCCGATATGATGGGAACCATTTCGGAGGAGAACGCAATCAAAAAAAATGCATCCGCATAAAAAAGATCGTCTGTGGGCGGTAAGAAGAAAGCTTAGTAGACAATAGGGGCAGCGATGTCGTCGCAATGATTATCAAGGCTAGTGTCAATGAAAATGCTTTTATTACTGGATGTTATTCATGCAGTAGACCTTTGAAGGATAACTACGTTAAATGCAGAACGTACTTGTATCTTTTCTACGGTATTGCTTTATTTAAAAAGGAATACAAAAAAGCCTTCAAGGTCACAATAACCCACTTCGTAGATTTGCTAACCCTTAACGAGGAAAGCGCTTGAAAACTTGCAGTAATGTCAAATAAGCACTTCAAGATTAAAGGGAGCTCGCGGCAAAGGCCGCAATTAATCCCATATCTGAGTAGTGGGATTGGTGTTTTAAAGAGCATTCTGCTTACAAGGTGAACTCTTCCAATTTTCCTGTTTTCTTACCAGACTGGGATAATAACCGGGTCATGGAAATACTGTTAGTGGTCAGTGCGCCAACTAGTTTGTTTCTGCTTATATCATGTATTGATATGCTGACCTGTAATTCCTTTCATTATGTATATCACTTTGCATCGATTTTTTAAATTTCATATTTGTTCGACGCCTGAAGTAAAATGGTTTCCTGCTATACAGTTTTATACAATTTTTATAGGCGTGGCATTCGATTTTACCCTATTTTCAAAAATAAAAAGTATATTCTCTTTCCATATATATTCATACAAGTGCTTTGCTTGAAATATAATATATAATCTTTTTTATATAAATGTATCAAAAATATAAATTCATCTCCCCTTGTACCTCTCTTGAATAGTTTTATACAATTTTTATAGGCGTGGCATTCGATTTTACCCTATTTTCAAAAATAAAAAGAATATTCTCTTTCCATATATATTCATACAAGTGCTTTGCTTGAAATACCAAAAAACCTATACCAATACGATCAGCAAAGTTTGGCAACCCTAAATTGGATGAGCAAGAGGAAGAATTGTCAAAATTGTAACCAACTGAAAAAATGGAAAAAAACTCTTTTTTCAAAGCACACACTGCATCCGGCTATTGTACGATTATCCGCATCTACTAGAAACAATTCATAAAAATATAGAAACGAACAAAGACCACTATAATCTTGATGTAATCTCCGCAGTGGAAAATATGCGGCCGAAAAAATATGACGGTTCTAGAACCTCTTATCTATTTAATTAATACCTTTAAAATGATTTCAGTACAATGCATTTTGTCCGTTTTAATTGACAATATTTGCCTTGGGGTTCTTCTTCTACACTCGCTTGAAATATCTATACATACAATGACTCTCTACACAATGAGCTCTAAAAGCTTGTTAAACTTAGTCTCTTGTCCAAACGTAATAAATACTTAAAAAAAAGGAAAACAAACCAAATATTATTCCAGTAGACAAGAAAATTAAATAACTTCAATAACTCAAAAAACGTAGCGTCATTAATATTGAGTTCTTATACCCATCACTGAAGGAGGGAGGGACGCGCTAAATCAAGTTTCAAAAACCCCATAAAGGATCCTAAATCGATTTAAGCAAGTCCGCCTTTTGGAAACATTCTCTTGGCCGCAATGAAGCTGTGGACTTCAAATTTGGCAGGAACATTGGAAGTCCTTGCAAGCAGATTGGCATTAAAAATGGTTTGACGGACACACTCACTGCACAGCGTGAACTGAGAACACCACTGTTTTCCAAAAGGAATAAAAAATTGGTTTTTTGCTCTTTACACATGAACTATAGCAGATAAATGTACAAAAATCTGTGCGCATATTCTATGGGCGATGCTGTTGGATTCGTGCACAAAAATGGAAAAAACTGATCACGTCTACCCAGTATTGTAGTATATCAAACTTTAACTGTTCTTTTTATATATTTATACCATGCAGCGACAAGCTTGAAAAATCCCATAAAGTATACAAATTCCTAGCCGTTTGTCTGTCCATCTGTCTGTTGGCGTAACTTTGTACTATTTATTGCAAACATTCTCCCGTTAGCGACAATGAAGATATCGCCAACATATTTCCAGAAGAATTTGGAATTAACCTAAACTTTTCAAAGGACGTTCCTACAATGCCCACACGCCTTTACGACAAGAAGCTTTATTTTGAAAATAGAAAATTTCAGCTGCGCCTTCTCCATATTAAAGAGTATGAAAACTTTGTTCTGTTACTTCTTTCCTGTCTTTTCTAGGATAACGGTGATAAAAGATACGTTCTCGATCGAGTTTAATTTTCTCACCTGTTTTCATATAAGGAAGGGTACGAATAAAAAAAGCAGCATATTATTAAAAATTAACATGTGGTGGCGTTTACTTTTTGCTTAATAACGTCATCCAAACGTTTTGACATATTTTGTACAACTTTTCTTGTATAGGAAACTGGGATCTCACTCTATTCGCCTTGCAGTCTACTTTTTAAATCTTGGCCGGAAGAAGTTGGGTGTTTTCGCACACGGCAGTCTAATTTACGTGTTTTTGATGGGATTCACGCCTGGTGATTGGGGTAGAGGGTGAACCACTTTAACGCAGTTGCTTAAGAGCCATTCTTGAATTAAGCGTGGTCGTTATCTTGGTGGAATTTAAATGTTTCCAAAATACCAAGTTTGTCCGCATTTTCTTTCATATTTTCTTCTAATATCCTTAAATAACTCTCCTTGCCATCCGTAAATAGCAATTTTTCAATTCCATTGGCTCCATTGCCTACCTAAAATTATAACATGACCATTACCATGCTCGCCGTAAGCCATTGGTACAAGACTGTAATAGGAAACTAAAATTAGAATTTGTCAGGGGAAACGCCCGGTTCTTAGTGGAATGACTTATGAACTTAAATGTTTCCTTAAGAAGAAAGGATAACCCGTTCCGTTAATTCATTAGCTTGAGCACGATAATAGGGAATGCAATTTGAAACTTTCCAGGAGCTTGCACAAAGAGTTTTCTTTTAAGTCCCCAGCATGGACAAACGACTTTTCACAATTCCGTACGTGATTACCCCGTTTAAAGTGAAAACTTTTAAAAAATTTCCCCGCGATTTTTTGCCCCTAAACTAAGAAAAAATTTCAAAATTTATACTAGATATTGTACTTAGGTTAAACTGATGAAGCGAAAATTATAGAACGAAATCTACAATGTTTTCATCAGCAGTATTCCTTTGTCAATGCTCACCAGAATTGTAGGGAATCGTTCATCCTATGATGATAGTGATAATGATTGTTCAGGATTACATGGTAGCAAAATTTTCATAATTGGTTATTCTACGATGTACTGAGTTGGCCCCGTGCTGTAATATCATATCGTAATCTTGTCTCCGCATAGGGGTAATACATTTGCCTTAACAGCAAGAAAAAGTCAATATTTGGGCAATTCTTAGTTCTGGTTTTACTATTGGAATCTGAGAGCAAATGCTCGAAACCATTAGAAGAATAATTCTGTAAATGAATTATACAAATGCTTGTTGTTACGCAAGAAGTCGTCCAAGTGGAAATAGTTTGTTGCATTTGCAAGCAGTATTACGTTCTTAGCTCTAGACTGCTTATCTCTATTGTTTGATTATGCGAAAAAGATCAGATGTTAAAGAAGAAAGTTGATGATAAATACATCAGTTTCATACATGTACAAAATTTAATTGCTATAAAAAATAAATTCACTTTTCTCAGAAGCCTCTTAAATATTTGCAAATTAATTTATTTGCCAAGTTTATCTAAGCTTTAATCACTTTTTTTAAGATTGTCGAGCATAAGATGAAAAATGGAAATTTGGTTTGAAGGGTATAGTTTGTGAATATGTTTGTTCCGATATGCGGTTTTTTGAGATTTGTAAGGAAAACAGCTTTTTTCATATACAAAATTCAGCAATTTTTAATAACAAATTGAATTTAAATTGAAATGAATGTAATCCGCGTGATCGAGTAGGCAAGAGTCTCGACTCGGTTCAAATCTCAAATGCTGTGGAATTTTTAGTAAAAAGCCGAAAGCCTTTGATGCTACCGCTTGTAAGACTTTAGTCGTAGAATTTATTCTCTGCCTAAATTTCTAATAACAATAATAATAATAAATTGAAATGAACTTTAATAAAAGTCTGAAATTTGCATAAAAAGTGTTTATGTTATATTTAAATTTTAAAATTAAAATTTAAAAAAAAAAATTCCCTCTTAATTTTTTATACCCGTCACGTGGGTAGGCTCGTTTTGTTTTTCTCCATGATATGTGCAACATCCAAATGCAAGGTTGTGCGACTTTATAAAATATGTTATTCTTAATGAATTGATGAAGCCATGTCTGTCCGTCTATGTAATTGTGTGCCTTTGTTTATTGTTAGCACTCTCTTGGCTGTAAAAATGAAGAAAACGACTTTAAATTTTGCAGAAATATGGGAAGTTCCTGCACGCATGTTGATATTGAAAATGGATCAAATCGATCGAAGGGCACGCCCACAACAGCACGTAAACTGCGAATATCTCTGTTTTTCTTGCTCATTATTCGTAAAGTATAGCAGATAAATGTATAAAAATTTAAGTACATATTCTACGGATGTCGCTGTAGGATCTAGGTAAAAATGGACAAAATTGACCACGCCTACCTACAATATTATAGTTTATGAAAATTCGATTTTTTTTTTTTCAACACCCTTAAAAGGGGCAGAAACAAGCTTGAAAAATCCCACAAATTATATAAATTTCTTGGCCAGTTTCATGTTTGCGATGTACCTAAATATGTCCATCTGTTCGCCTGCTCAGCTGACTGTCTACGCAACTATATATAGTATTTGTGGTAAACAATCTGCCGTTAGCGAAAATAAATATATCGCCTGTAAATTTGCAAAAGAATTTGGGAGGGACCTAAACTTTTCGCAACAACCACACACAAACAACTTTTTATTTATTTCAATTTATTTCAATTTAATTAGTGTAATTTTTAATTTTTTTTAAATATATCTTTGAAATGAAAGATAGTTCACACCCACAAACTATTCGAGCAAATTTATTTCCTCTACATAGTTAAGTAAAAGCTTTTAAAAAAAAAAAAACGGAATGAAAGAAGTGAAAAGATTATGACGAATTCGGAATATTTTCCGTTGAGAGTGTAATGTACATTGAATATGCATTACAAGTGAATTACATTGAAAAACCATATATTCCTGAATAATGTCGCTGAATTTTAACGTAATACTTTATTTGCGAATTCTTTTTTACGAGGTAATTGTTTTTCTTTTTATTTTTCGCAATTATCAATGGAATCAAATTGTTTTTTAAGCAACGGGAATAATGTTGATAATTTCTTGCTCTCCCATTTAATTATTAAGAATTGAATTAAAAGCGGACAGAGGGGTTTTAAGATTATGTATCCATTGTGTGTGAACTCCGATACATCTATAATGGATTAGTAGTGGATATAAAACGAGTGCTCACAAAAGCAATCAAAATTCATAAAAAAGTAAATGCAACGTAAATATTGTTTAACTTCAGCATCATGAGAAACAAAAGGAAAAATTTATTGTGGACTGCAGGTCGTGCTATGAACATCATCGCTGCCCTCATTTTGATTATCTGAACTGGTATCATCAGTGCTGCGGGTAGAAGCTTCATCGTTTGTACGGTTACGACGCTCATTGCTGCCACCTCTACGAGTAGCATGAGCAAGGCCACGACGACAACAGGAATAGTGTGGTGTAAAGAAATGGAATAGTCCATGATCGAATCCTATAGCGTCGATATCTTCAAACGTGGTACATGTCATATTGCGAAAGACACAATTTTTTAAATCTGCTAAGTCAGGCGGATATGTTTCAGCACTAGGTGTCCAAATTTTAATACTATCATCTAATCCAGAAGTTGCCAGTATAGGTACAGATGGATGCGGTTCCAAACAGTTAATCACGCCGACAACATCGCCCGGCATAAAATTGAGTATAGCTTCAGTATTTTTATCCCAGTAATATATGTTGCCACAATCACTGCCACTGATTATATATTCACAATTAGGACCAAAGAAATTTACACCTTTTATGGTCTGCTGATTAACGTGTCCTTTATAACAATGAAGAAATGTTCCTTTTTCATAGCACAAATTATTGAACAAATATATATTCTCATCGCTATAGGTGGCCAAAATCTCAGTACCTGTATTATTATAAACGCAAGAGGTTACCGAGGGAATACTAGCATAATCGAGCAAACGCTCTGGACACATCATATGTATCGGATTATTTTTCATATTTCGTTTGTCATACACACGTACAAAATTATCACAGCCACTAACACAAATTTCAGGCGCATACGGATGATGAGAAATACTGTAGAGGCTTAGTTTTCTCGCATATTTACACAGTGAATCTGACGTTACCTGCAACATTTCATAATGCGATTCATCTGAACGTAAATCTTTTCCAAGTATATAACCATCTTCTCCAACGCTTATAATCTCTGAAGGATTTTGAGGACATAAGACAAATTTATGCACTGGGCCGCGATGTGAGTACAGACAAGAGGTTTGAATTGTCCCACCTGACGTCGGTACAATTGAACGGCGCACCTGAGCATCTCGACCGACCGACACGACATCTATACAACCATTGCTTGGTATAAACTTGGACTGAAATATGCTGGCGGTATGTCCTGATTTCCACACATATTTCGTTTTGCTGTGAGCCCAATCCCAGACTATAAGCCGGGAATCATCCGAACCAGTAACTAATAAATTTCCCGCTCTATTAAAATTTAAACAATTCACACAACCGCTGTGTTTATGTAGAGCATGCGAAAACTTCATGCGTTCTACGACATGACGAGAAGCATAATAACGAACTGCGAAACTTTCCCCCATGCCGCCACGCAATGATCCTCTACCATCCCCTCGTAAACCACTTTCGCGGCGCATTAATTCGTACGTGGAATTCCAATTGTATGACGGTTTCGGTTTTGTAAGCAAAGATTTAAATTTCTTTTTTTTATCTTCGCGGTCCAAGTCGGAAGGCGAAACCAGCGATGCCGAAAACTCATTAGTATCTCCTTCCGAATCAGAGCGCGTTACAAAAACAGAGAACGGATTACCAGAATCGCTGTCATTTGAACTAGAGGAAGAACCGCTGCTAGAATCGTCCGCTTCACGAGCACTATTACTTGATGTTTCCCAGTGTGGCAATTCATTATCATCTAATTGCAAAGTGTCACCTTCACCATTCAAGTTTTCTTCAGTTTTCTTCTTTGGTTGTTCTTCAGTTGAACGAAACAGCCAATCGATATCGGATTTAAGTAGAGATGACGTAGATGACGATGGCGACGATGATAATGATAAAGAAGACGAACGTTTTTTGGCACAACGATAATTACGATTACGATTGCGTAGTTGACGTTTTTTCGCAAACATTGAACCTGTAGCCTTATCGCCTTCTTCAACTTCAAGAGCATCTCCGTTCAGATTTTTTTCAGGAACAGATGTATTTTCGGTCATCACAGCACAAGTTTTTGACTGGATGTGATCATTTTTTTGGGTTTCATTTGCCAAAGGCTTGTTTAGCAAATTTGCAGGCATTTCGGACCCGAAAATCATGTCCAAACCACTATCAGCGCTGTTTTTATTCATGCTGACACTAGCGCTGTTGGCCTTAGTGTCAATACAATCAGCTCCACTGCTAATGCTACAGCTAATAGATGAACTCTGTTCGTTTTCTTTGGAACTGGGATCACCGCTGCCGTCAACATTTGATGGCCAGTTATTGAATTCTTCGATATTCTGTTCTGAACGGCTACGCTTCGGTGCAGATTCTAAGCACTGTTCGGATTCCTCCATATTTGCTATCATTGCTTTACGATTTTCACAAATAAATTAAAGTCGACCCCTTACAAATCATTGACGTTTGCAAGTAGTATAGAGTGCTTGGTGTTTGAACAAATATTCAAAGACAATTCGATCAGAACTTTCAGCCAATTCTCGAAAAACAAATGAAAAGTAATCCTTTCCGAGGTTTCTCCGACGTCAATTATTAGCAGGACAATATTGAGCACAAAAATATAATTCCTTTCCCTGTATATGTCTTGTTTGAGATCACGACGATGGGTATAAAAGATTCGGTCATGACCGAATGTAATTTTCTTACTTGTTAAGGTTATGATTGCTCTAACAACAGACGGCAGACAGATTAGAGGATAAACTTCGATATTTTTGAAAGAAGATCTGTGACGTCAAAGAGTACGGATATTTTACCAGGTCAGAATACATACACAATTTAAGGAGGATGTGATGAGTGCATTCTGAGGTTACAAACGCTTTGGCAAATTGACCATCTTTGCTTGTCGGTATAAGTTCGCTTATCCTCCTATTGCGATAGAGAGGATATAAAAATATTTTGCGCTTCTTCTTCACTTTTCTTCTTTCCACACAATAACACCACAATGAAATAATTCATTGGATATAAATTACATTAAATTATATTTGAGCTGATTAACACTTCAATTTATGGCTTGTGGGCGTGTTGATCTTATTTCAAAGGAAAGGCGTGTTTTAAGAAATTATACCATTGGCAAAATGCTTTATAATAATATTCGTTGATTAAAGTCGCGCTGCGAGTACAAATATGAAAAATGTATAAAGTATTCTGTAAAGATTTTTGTATACCTATACTATACTACTCTATATACTATATGCATGTAGTGTAATAGCAATACAATATACAGAATAAGGTAAGCCCTCTAGGTACAGAGAAATATTTTGGATGTATAATAAGTTTGTCATTTCGTTTATAATTTACTCAGGCGAATATAGAAAAAAGTCAGGATTTAAATTATGTTTGGCCACCTATACATGCTGCTTGTGCTGGTGCTGTGGTCGATGTTTACGTTTACCACAGTACGTCAACTGCTAATCAATTTGCCAATCGGTGAGTGATGGCTTTTATTTTTTGTTTTTTTTTTTTTTTGTGGAAAAATTTTAAATAAACCGGAAAATTTCGATATCTTTGACGTAAAGTTGAAATAGTTATTATGAGGTTTAAATATGCTTTGCAGCCATTGTTTTTCGTATTGTTTATATACTTTTGTTATACATACTTATATACAATACTCGAACATGCTTTTGTTAATTGTGTATTAAAAGGTTTAAGTGATTTTTTTTTTCTCTTCATCTACTAAGAGATAATGGTACATTAAATTTGTGTACCCGTTTGCAATAGTTCGTAAATGTATATAGCTTTGATTAGCCTTAGACCATGAGTCGTTTATTTATTCGTTTTTGTGCGTTGGCATAAGCCTTTTTAACGAAAGCCCCAAGATCCGTTTTGAAAATGTTCATGATTTGTCTTCATATAGCTGGCTGGTAGTGATTTAAAATCCTTAACTTATAGTTCATAGCAAATGTTAATACAAAAGTTGAAAGAAATATTTGTCATCTCAAAAACTTTGCACGAGAAATGATTGGAGAATAATTCAGATGCATGCCCCCTATGGAAGGACAACTATAACTTGCAGTCCTTATAAGATATTAAACTTGAAATTAAGAGTATATTCCTATCAAAATCATTTGAGAGTGGTGATCACTTAAAAGACATGCCCACAAATTTTAAAAAAACATTAATCCTAAATGTATAAAGGATATTAAGCGAAAGCTTGATGCAAGTATTCCTCAAGGATCTGATGTGAAGGGGGGTCTCTGCCGATTAATTCATATTTTTCGAAGAGGCTAGTATGAAGGAGTTGCTATCTCTATTAATTGACCTGCTCACAATGTAAGAAACTACTCTACGTTTCTTATATACGTTATGTTTAATGTTTCATGCATCCGCGTACCGGCTTACAGTTAGTTAGTAGACAGTGGATGATGGGTATTAAAAGTTCGCCATAAGGCGAATATAGTTTTCTTATTTTTTGTTTTTGTTTTTTGTGAAAAGATAATGTAGTTGAGAGACGAAACTGATGCCAAATAAATCAGAGCAAATGTGAAACAATTGTTCGAAAGCACAATTGCACAATCGCACGAACAGTACCGATGGTGGTCGTAAAGGTACCTATGATTGAAAAAAAAATAAATATAAACAAATGAATAAATAAATAAAAATAAAATTTCAATATCCATGTACATATGATTGGAAGTGAGCAAATTCACATTGCTCTGCATTTCGTACGATCGTTAAAAGTTGACATAACAGGCTTTTATTGTGTATGCTTATGTATATGCTTGCAGTTGATATGAGCACACTACGCGGATACAGATAAATCTCAATATATATATATATATATATATATATATATATATACGTATTCATATGAATACATACATACATATATTTGTAGATTTATACATGAAACTGTTATGTCTGCATATATTTATATATTTATGTATATGTACAAAATACTTACATTTTGTTAATAAATTTTGCCCTACAAATGTCAGGGTTTAAACTGATACACTCACATACACACACACACATATATATATATATATATATATAAATGCATATAGATATATTTACCTCCTTTAAATAGCGTACAGAATACTTAACAAAACGAGAACTAGCTATAAATTGTGATGATACAGTAACGTTGTACATATTCCTTTGGCTAAGTATGCACAAATGCATCGTACACACGCATTCATACTCTCTTATGTGCTTGTATATAAATGCAAACGAATAAGCTATTATGAAAATATGCCTTGCAAGTGTGTGTCTGCAAGTATATCTTATAAAGAGGCAGAGAGCATTCGGATATTCCTGTGATTTGAGATTAGCACAATAGTCGTCATTGTGAAAACAAACAAGGTTTCCATTACTTTTTCACAGGCATTGTGTTGTTACACATTCATAGTAAACCGTGCTTTGTTTCCATTCTACTACCAAAAAAAATATAAAAAAAATTCAAAAAACAAAAAAAAAAAAAAACCAAATAAAAAATAGAAGATGTTCTCACAATTACGTTCTGATGTTATGATTTACCCTCTTGTTTCGTCTCGTCGACTAGACTAGACTAGACTTTTCTTCTTTATAATACATTAACGTGTTCTATATATATATATATACTATATATACGTACTATAAATCGCAGCTTTCGCAACAAGAAAGTATTATTCAGTAATTTAAACTCGTAAGATCGACATAAATCTAGCGGCTCCTGTCATTCGTCATATGCCTGTTGTTATAATCTTATGTGAAAATAAAAAGAAGAAAATTGAGAAAATTTTTACAATTTTATATATGTATATATATATATATATATATGTATATATATATGCATTCATGTTATAGTGTTTGAAAAAATATTTTTTTTAAATTTAATAAAACAAGCAAATAAAAAAATTGTATTGTCCTCGAAGCATGCTTCGGAGACCACCTACCTCAAACCAACACATTACAATTAACAAATATTTGGTTAAATGTGACCGCATTTAATGGTGCCCCCATGTCTCTTTAGCTCATTTATATTTTAGATTAATTACGATAAATGAATGTTATGTAGAATCTCAGACCAGTATCCAGATATGAGGTCTGGATTACACTTTACTTGCTGAGGTTGTTTTATCAAAACATAATTATACAATACTCCGCTTGTAGGCAACACTTAGAAGGATAGAAGGAGATAGACCCACCTCTCATTATATCAATCGATTCAGAATCATTTTCTAAACCGATCTAAGCCTCTCTGTCCGTCTGTCCGCCTGTTTTATTTTCTTGTATTCGACGTACAGGTCGCAAGTTTTGAGATATTTTGATGAACTTTTTAAAATGATTTGGAACGGTCCACTCATCGACCACCCCCCACATAACGTCCATTTTTGAAAAATTGCAATTTTCAAATTTACTCAACAAAAATGGCAAAGTGGTAGTATTTCGGCATTTTAAATTGGTATGAAAACTTTGGACCAGCTATAGCAATTTTTGAATCCCCTCTCATATAACGAAAACTAAAGTTCCTATGGCAAAAAGGTATGATTTTCAATGCGTCATGATGAAAATCAGATCATAATAGTGATTTAAGACTAAAAAATTTATTGTCCTAAATTTGGACCTCTTCGGCTTATTTTTTTTGATCCTATCCTATATGAAGATAATATAGAAAATGTGTTGTTTTTTAGGGAAGTTTTAATATGTTATGATCAAAATTGATTCATAATGGTAGTGTGATATAAACATAAACTACGCTGAACTTTGAATACTGTTTTTGGACTTCTTGAGCACAACCATTATACGGAAAGTAAGTCTTTATTTGAAGAAAGGTCTACTTTTTTAAATACAGTTTCGTAGTATTAGGTTCCTATAAAAATAGGATATAATTTTTGTGTTCTATGGCGAAAAGCGTTCTATAGCGTTAAGCAATGTGGTATACGGTCCTCGACAGTCTGCTTACCCCGACTATAATATTTTTACTTGTGTAAATCTATTTATTATTCCAAATCTATTTCGTGGCCTTCCAAGTAATCTTCAAATTCAAAAAACTTTCTTTTGCACACAGTTTGATCGGGCGGTAGGATTTCATAGTGCGCAGCATCAGCATAATCGAAGGAAATTGCTGACATCACCTTGGCTTTTGAGCGACTTTATCACTTTAGCAGCATATTAGCTCCATTGGTCGGATGTCTTTAGACTGTGTGCATAGACATAAATCTCATCGTCCATAACAATCCTCTTCATGATGTCCTGCAATGTATGAAAACAAGTGCACTTGAAACACTAATGATGTTCATGATGTGAAATTTGAGACAGATGTTTGGCACACTGCTACTGATTTAAAAAAAAGTATTTTTGACATTCGATATATCCGTGCAATTTAACTTGAGCATTGATTTTACCTTTTATTCGCAGTATTACTTACCAAACCTTC